CTTTTAAGGGCGCCTAGAAGTCCATTAGTAATGAAGAGTACAATTTTACCGTTATTTTGCATATTAAAACATTCCCGAAGATGCTTTAATTTGGTAAGAATTTAATAAAATTTTTAAAAATAATTAATTGAAACGAAGCGCCCTCCTCCTCGATTCTCATAGGTTGGACTTAAGCAGGCCCAAAAATCAGAAAAAAATTAATTTTTTATTTGTTATATTTTTTGTTTTTTTTTTTCTTGTTTGCTTTTGTTGTTGTAGTTATAATTTCTTATTTTGTTGTTGCAATTTTTGTTGTAAATTTTGTTTTTGTAATTTTTTTTTTGTCTTTTAAAAAATTTTTTTTTTTTTAATTTTTTTGTGTTGTTATTTATTTTTGATAATGGAATCTTAATGCCCAAAAAATATCGTCCAGAATACATATACCCCAACCGATATTATCTTATAAAATAAACTGTCACTTAACGGCAAGGGTTATCAGCTTCGTCTTCCCCCGAAGAAAGCTTTAACCACAAAAGAATTCCACCAAGAATTTAATTTTCAAAAATTTTCGCTCATTCGAATATATAAGGTCTGAAAGGTACAAGAAATCGTACAAATCAAGTCTTTATGAAGGAAACTTTATTTTTGATGGACCTCTAGATCAAAGAGTATCCAAGTTTTAGCTTTTTTTACTCGTGTTTTATAGAAAGAATATTATATGCGCAAACCCCATTAAAATCCTTGCAATGTCTGTACCTTAATTTCCACTAATTAAATGTTTCTCTGCTTGTGTTGCGTGTTCCTTACCGGAAACATAATCAATATTAATGGTTATGGAAGTAAGCAAAGAGAATGGCGGTCGGTAAGATGGCGGTCATGCACAAATAACGTGCATTTTAAAATTTAATGCACGCTTTACTCGCTGCTTAGTTTAACTGAATTAATTTTCTGGTTATAGAGAGTGGCTTCAAATTTTTATTCCTCTTTTTTAATTTTCTGGATCACCATCAAGGTGTATATTTTCAGTGAGACTAGAGAGTGTCAATCTGTGTCCGTCGAAATGACTGCTCTGACGTGTATCGTTTTACGGTAGAAAGCAATTAATTTGAGGCAGAAGCGTAGCTCCTTTGGGCGAATGCTGAGTGAACTAATTACCGTGCCCGGTCACTCTCCGGCTTAGTCAACTGCCGGGCGTCTGTAATAGAGGGTCGGGGTCAGGGAGCGGCAAACACCCATTCCGGGCATTTCTTTTGTACTTTCAGTTTACGAGACTGAGATCATAAAGGCAGGCGCACGCATGGGCTACGTCCCTGCCTGGCAAAACGGTGTCAAATGAAACAAGGCATCGTAAACAAAAAGTAAACAAACCCAGAAGGGAAGGCTGTCTTCGAGCAGAACGAAGCTTGTACTTGGATACCCTTGCGCTAAGTCTAAGTCTCAGACTTTTAACTTAAAACATATAAAATGTAAAATAGATTCCACGTGTTTAGTAAACTTTAATACATTATTCAGACTTCACCTTTTATTCTAGAGGAAACTTTAAAGTCCTACTGCCTTCCTACATAATAAAATATTAAACCACACAAGAAGCCTTTTTGAGGCTTTGTGCTTTGAGGTGTCGTCTTTCTGATTTGCCAGCATAAAACTTGAAAGGTCCTTTCGACTAGATTAAGCACGCACATAGATTTTTCTTCATCAGCACACTCACTCACGCCGCTGCGGTCGAAGTCATGGATCTACGGATTATAGTGCAGCGAAAACTGACACTCAGAAGTATCTGTAGTATAAAAGCTTTAAGCTGCAACCCATTTCTCAAAGCCACCAATTTTCTTTGGCATGCCTTAAAAATAGAACACCTATAGATACATTATTTATTGGACAGTAAGGGCTCTCACTAAATATGTATTGATCTACTTACTATATATAAGTAAAAAGTCTTGCTGGCATCTACCGGTCTATGAATCATTAAAGAGCCGATTACCTCTATTACTACTCGTATTATATTCGGGCAAATGTTGGTAAAACGAATAGGTTCTGTTTTCAGACCCGCTCTTTCTAAACCTTAAAGACTAAAAAAGAAAGATTTATATTTTTATAAATAAAGCATCTGCCAAGAAATTTATTGTTTTAAACAAAATTTTGGGGCAGACTCCTACGGGAAATGAAGTTAGTTATAGTTATTAAAAATTAACCAATTCGGACGCATTAAGATAATAACATTGGGTGTGCTGATTCATAAGTGAATTTTCTTAACCTCGTCGGCCACAACTTTACCTTATATGTGTTAGTTGGCGAATTTATAAGGAAGACTTTACCATCAGTGATAAATAGTCCTCCATGGTTGTGGCACGTGTCTTGATACATGTCATGATTCTACCAACCCTTCCAAATCTTCTGCAGGGTGAACGATGGCGACGCACTAGACGCAAAAACTGCCATTTTAAATGACATATGAGCTCCCGTAGGCTTGGGAATACCTCCGGCGGCTCACTTAAAGTGAGTCTTTACTACTAAAATATTCACAGGTTGCCTGCCGATGAAATATTGTGCTGCCAAGGGTGCGGCAAGTCGATTCAGTAGTGCCTTCCAGCCAAGTGCGTTTGAATCGATAACGATGGCACGGAATAAACTTCCGAAAGCGCTATTTAATTGGAATATTGATTGAATTAAAGTGTATGTCTAGAGTCCAGACTATAGAGTCTATAGTCAGGCATTTTAAAAGTTTTTAAAATGGTTTGTGAAAGCTTTTGAAATGCTGAAATTGTATGGAAGAAGAATAAAGCCTCTAGGGAAATACCTTTGCCAATAACTATCCGATTCTTAACTGGAAAACCTTCAACAATGTGTAGCAGAATGGTGGAAAATCGATCTAGAAATCGTTTAATGTATTTCGCTTGAGAATCAGATGAGAATTGGGGAACATATAGCCATCACTGTGGACCCTATAGGAGAAAACCCCATTTTCAAGGGATCCCATCACGAAAACTGGACAAAAAATCTAAAAAATATTTTTTCTCAGGATTTTGATGCAGAATGGTGGAAAATCGATCTAGAAATCGTTTAAGGTATTCCGCTTGAGAATCGGATTAGAATTGGGGAAGATACAGCCATCGTTGTGGACCCTATAGGGGAAAACCCCATTTTCTAGGGATCCTATCACGAAAAATGGACAAAAAATTGAAAAAATATTTTGTCTCAGAGTTTTGAGAATTGGGGAAGATACAGCCATTACTGTGGACGCTATAGGGGGAAACACCATTTTCAAGGGATCCTATTACGAAAAATGGACAAAAAATCTACAAAATATTTTGTCACAGGATTTTGATGCAGAATGGTGGAAAATCGATCTAGAAATCGTTTAAGGTATTCCGCTTGAGAATCGGATGAGAATTGAGGAAGATACAGCCATCGCTGTGGACCCTATAGGGGAAAACCCCATTTTCAAGGATCCCATCACAAAAAATGGACAAAAAATCTAAAAAATTTTTGTCTCAGGATTTTGATGCAGAATGGTGGAAAATCGATCTAGAAATCGTTAAGGGTATTCCGCTTGAGAATCGGATGAGAATTGGGGAAGATACAGCCATTACTGTGGACCCTATAGGGGAAACCCCATTTTCAAGGGATCCCATCATGAAAAAGAGACAAAAAATCTAAAAAATATTTTGTCTCAGGATTTTGATGCAGAATGATAGAAAATCGATTTATAAATCGTTTAAGGTATTCCGCTTGAGAATCAGGTGAGAATCGTTGAAGATATAGCCATCACTGTGGGGCCTATAGGGGAAAACCCCATTTTCAAGGGATCCCATCACGAAAAATTTACACAAAATCTAAAAAATATTTTGTCTCAGGATTTTGATGCAGAATGGTGGGAAATCAACCTAGAAACCGTTTAAGGTATTCCGCTTGAGAATCAGATGAGAATTGTTGAAGATATAGCCATCACTGTGGACCCTATAGGGGAAACCCCATTTTCAAGAGGTCCTAAAAATGGACAAAAATTTAAAAAATATTTAGTCTCAGGATTTTGATGCAGAATGGTGGGAAATCGATGTAGAAATCGTTTAAGATATTCCGCTTGAGAATCAGATGAGAATTGACAAAATATAGCCAAGATATAGCCATCTCTGTGAGCCGTATGAGAAACTATATCCTATAGCTTTCGTATAACTGAAATATCGAAAAAAATGTTTTGTCTGGATCTCTTTTTTTTTAAGTTTTGTATAATAATGCATACTTAATTTAATGCTTGCTGCACTTTTTATTTGCGTGCCGTTGAGCGATTATTTTTTACAAAAGTAGACCAGAATTACTAGGAGACAATAAACACTGAGACGAGGTGTACTTTTACTCAGGCAAGGGGAAAACAATTTACTGTCGGCCATATAAAATATTGACTGCCATTGCTATTCCACGACAGTGTCCTGAAACTGTCTGTTGGATAGGACTGTCGCTGCAGCTGTCTTAGCGGGTTTGTGTGCGAGAGCTTAACCCAATTTACAACTTACATGTAATGATTTTTTCCCGACTGTTTAAGGCTCACTTCGATCGATAGGAGTTGGCTTGGCCATAAGTTAACTTCCAGTTGAATACAAACACTAACTGCTGAAGTGGCAGAAATATTCGTTCTTGCAAAAATAGACCATTAATATGGATTTTTCTATAGCTTTTGTAACAATTATCAAGTGGGAGTGGGCGGGAGGATTGCCGCATTGAAATGCGACAAACCGCAATTTGGCTGAGAGCCCGAAACTGTTTGAATAACTGGCCAATTGGGTCTGCAGTCCGACCATGGAAAAATATATGTACTGTGCATGTATGTATTGCCATATGTGGATGTGGCTAGTTTTTTGTGTGGCTAGTTGTGGTATTTGCAGTGCGTTGAAAACCACGAGGTAAACAATATCTCTGCGGTACAATAAAAAATATATTAACTTTTAGTTTCTACATATGTAATTGTAGCTTTAATTACTGAGTATTTATACTTTTTTAAAACGAATTTTTATCCTTTCTTATAGCAGCTCCACTCGGAATATCGGAGCACTTACCGTTGGCATGAATTTACTGGTAACTCGAGGCCAGAGGTTGTGCGAAGAGCGCCAGCCCCAAATCCAAGTCAATTTGTTGGTAAGTGACAATGAAATTTTTCTTTAGCTTTATTGTCACGGACTTTATTTATTGATTTCGAATTCGTTCGACTCACGATGGGATTTGTGCACCTGCAGGTCCAACAAATGAGCCGCCACTGCCCCGACGGAAAAAATGTCCAGAATTAGCATACAAATCGCACGAGTTTATTATAGGGTCTGAATACACGGATGCACGCCGAGATGCCAGTGCACATCGCCTGGCGAGGGTAAGTTCTTAAGGGATTGAACAATTTTATTCAACTATGACAGCAATGAAATGGTTACAATATATGTTTTAGAACAGATTTCATTTCATTGTAAAGGAAGGATTTCTATACAGACACTGAAGAGTCGTTTATACAGACACTCTTTGAATTACTCTAGAATATTCATGGCATAGGGATTTAATTCTTCTTCTATTCAAAAGTTGAAATGCCTTTTTTTTAATAACTTTCCACATATTCCACATTAATTGCATAAGAAAGCCGTTGCCTTTACGATAGAGTTGGCATTGGGGTTATGGCATTTAAGCTGCGGTCCTCATAAAAATGTCGACGCTCTCAATTCCACAAAAGAGCAGGAAAAAACATATTTTCCCTCTAGTGTTGGTCCTCTCCTAGTTTTTCCGCTTCTCGATTTCAGCGCTAGCCTAATTAATAACAAGGCACAAAGAGGCGTGCATTAAAAGGGCATTAAAACAAGTATATGTGAGTCAAATTATGAGCCTGTGCTTAAATTATTTTGTCTATGATAGCTCAAAGAATCAAAATTTAATATTAAACTATTTTTTTTTGTTGAATATGTGCCAGGGCGCCCCTGCTGCTTCTGTCTGTGGCACCTGCAGCATTGGCGTATTAGTGAGAGTGCTTCTGTTGTACGAGTATAATGTAGCTCATTCCGGCCATACATAATTAATAGACTTCACCTTGTGACGCACGTCAACACAGCGTATGCGTAATATTAATGGCCAGCTAATTAAGGATATATGTACGGTTATACACAAACACACTCATACATGTTTCATGTCCTGTGCTCATCTGTCTATCTCTTTCTGTATCTCTCTCTCTACACGCAGTCGGAGGAACGGGGTACGCCTTCGCGTCGCAGCAAATCGGAAGGACCCCCCGTAGTGCCCAACGGACGCACCTATCCCATTTCATCGGAGGTCGATGGAACTTCGAGAAAACAGGTAAAAATTGTCAGATGGATTGCACTGTCTCGCAGCCAAGCACATGGGTGTCTAATAGTCGTATATTGCCTAATCTAACCTAACACTTGGATATGTATTCTGAGTACGTGTTTTGGGTGTTTGTATGAGCAAGTTGCGCGAGTTCCTTAGCATGCATAGAGCACTTACTGATTTTTCTGAGTTTACTTGGACCTTTTTCCAATATGTATGTCTACATAGGGCATTATAATATTCACAGAGTCTCCAGAAAATGAAAAACCATTAGGAATTGGGTTAGTTGCATCGCTTGGGAATAATAAGTTCTACAATAGATTCTAATATGAATAGAAAAAATTAATAGAGTGTTCTAATGTCAAAAGAATCAAAAGAGTCTAAAGTTTATATTGAATTTAATATTAATGTTGCTGTTTCAATTCTTTTATCAATTGTGTAGGGCGTGTTTATTGTTAAATAATTTTGTTACAAAATTAATATTGTATATTGTAAAGGGACGATATGTCAAGTAGTATCTACATGTTAGTTTTTTAGTTCTATTTACTTTTAACCACTTTCATAGTAACATGAAAGTTGTCTACAACTTTTTAGTTGTTTTGTAGATAGTTTGTCTACTGAAGAACATCATTTTGAGCGACAATTGTCTCTCCACTTGTAAATAGGATGAAGTTTTGTACTTCCATATATGAGTAAGGTAGCATCTGTCTCTTTCAATTTCAAATCTTTATATTTTTGTGATTGTAGCAGCTTTGTCTTCTGGAAGTTAGTTTTCCCCTCTTAATGTGTTTTGAAGTTATTTCCGGGATTTTCTCCCTAGCACTCTGGCAACGCTAGGATTTTGCGCAATCTCTTAAGGCTTAAAAAAGGTGTAGCATACATTTGAGGGTAAATTTCATGCGTAGTATGTATTACATTGATTTTATTGTTCTTTTCACATTATATTTTTCCCTATAATTTAAACTTTAGTTGCGATTCGTTAAAAAGGGAACTTTAAACTTTATCGATAAAGAAAAACGATTTTCCCATTCCTCAAATCATTAAAGTTCTGTTGAAATATTAAAATGCTTCATTGAAAGATTTGGTATTAATGGCGAATTAAGTCCCTTTTAAACTTCCAACTATATATTTTAACTGGAATATGTTTTATATTAACATATTAGAATTAAACCAATTAGAAATAATTATTTTAAATTTACCATTTATACTTGTATTGTGTGTATTTCTTCTCTTTCTTGTTCTCTGTTTCTCCACATGTCACTAATCCCGGTATATTCTTCTTTATGTATACTGTGCTCTTGCTCCCTGTTTCTAAAAAAATAAAAAAAAAAAAAACACAATTTATAAAAATTAACTTTTAAATACTTAATTGCGATCATGCAATGCTTCTCGTTCTTTTTCATTCTCTTTTTCTTCCCAACTTTTGCGTTATGTTTTTCTGATCTTATCTTTCGCAGGCGGGTGAGTCAAATGGCGGGATATTGAAAAAGACGATCACAAAATTGAGCACAGAGTACCGCCTGCAATTCGTTTGGCCCACTGTCCGACGGATTAAGGGCGGTGGCGATGCGACGTCTAGGGCCGCTGCCGGAGATTATCCGCGAAAGTCCATATCGCTGGGCGCCATTCGGTCTGGTGGCCAGAGTCACGCTCCGAACCCGAGTCAGAGTCAGAGTCAGGCCCACAGTTACACACATCACACGATGATGGGTGCCGGTGCCGGGTTGCCAACGGTGCATAAAAAACGAACAACAAATCAGAAAGAAGGTGCGACAACAAATTGTCGTCGCTAAGCATTTATTTCACATACGTACTAAAAAACCAAAAATCAAAGTGATGAAACAAAAATTCATTTCCTAGTACCGCATAGTTTCTTTCAATACTAATATATGTACGAATTACTAAAAACAACAATTTTGAAATTCTCAATTCTCAAAAATTTGAAGCGTACTAAAAAAATATTCAATTTGATTTGAAATCTTTTTTTTTTATTTACATAACCTACCAAACTAATTTTGCGGAAGATTGTATAACATTTTATTTACTAACCTTTTTGTCGAAGCGTAAATGTTGAAACTTGTTTTATTTATTTTTTTAAGATTTTCAAATGCAAATTTGTGCAGTGGCAGCAGCATTGAGTAAAAACAAATACCTAGAAATCGCATTTCATACTATATAACGTTAAATAGTGTTGGTACAAAAATATAGCTTTTTCGATTTCGATTTATTCAACTTTTTACAACTGTCGCATCAAGACAGAATTGACAACTAATCGAGTTTTTTATGAACACGTCGTCGTAAATTTGGCCTACCAATATAATCTATAAATATGTATGATACAGTGCTCTCAACACCTAAAATAGATACTTTTCCTTTACGTATTATATCGTACATTTTATACTATACTCTCCCATATTTTCTGTATTTACAAGCAAATATTTTCTTTTCCGCTTTTCTGAGTAACGACATTTGTTTTGATTTAAAGCAGATGACAGAAACTGACAGTTCTAACATTTGTTTCATATAGAACGAAATTATGCTAAATTCCCCTGAAAACTAAAAAACTTAAAAAGGTTTAAACTTTAAAAACAATTTAAAAAACATCTTTTTAGCCAAAAGCTGACGTAAGTGTTGAACTAAATTTCGTTTTTATTAGTGCTACAAAAAAACCAAAAACTATGTATTTGTTTTATTGAAAATCGTAAAATTGCGTTGGCAAACGACAAATCGATTGAATAACCATCTGGCTCTGGAAAAGGATCTGCTTTCCCCAAATGCGAATCATACTAGTCGTGATGCCAATGCAATTTTACTTTGTCAATTGATGAGTTGAAATAGCAAAGTGTAGTCGGAGCATGTTGTGGCCGCAGGTTGTGCGATAACTTTTGTTTATAAAAATTGAAAGCATAGGACATTTTATGTTGGTTTCGTTGCATGTGTGAAACTGAAAACTCAAAACCAAGCGAAATTTTATATAGTATCCTGCATTATTCCAGACAAACATTATTTAATCTACCAACATGGCATCGAACTTCAACATTTGTATATTTTGGTTTTCATATCATTAGTTAGGCTTATTGGAAAATGCTTAGCGGGGGGTTAGATAAGCAGAAAATATTTATTCGAGCTATCATTGTGGCCGGGCGTCCAAGTAGGTGACGAACCGCATCCGCCGTGCGTCAAGTACTAACAAAATTTACAGTGCGAGCAAAGCGCCATAGGTAAGGCTACGGTGTGGAAGATCTAAGCGCTAGATCTAGAGGGATCTAAGATGTAATATATATACATATGTGTACTCTCCATTGCGCAAATCGTTAGAGCATCTGCTTCTCAGACGCAATTAGTGGCTTCAAGTGCAAGTCGCTGCTTATTCTTGGCGTTTATCGAATCGTTGTGCATTGCCATAAGCTTTCGTAGTGTATGAATTGGACGCAGTGCTTAATAAGAATGAACTATAAAAGAGCATCCAATACAAGGATTCATTAACATAAAAGTTTCACAATTGGTTTCAATTTCGTTCTATATTTTAAAAAACCCAAGCCCCGAAATTGTTCAAGACAAATTTTAGAAACACCCCCAAAAAATTTGTAGGAAAAACTTGCCAAAAACACACTTTAACCACCTAATCAACACATTTTTCCGTTCTCTACTCAATGCCAAACCAGCTCAAGCATCATCATTTGAAGTTAACATTTAGTATTCACCTTTCCGCAGTAAAACATCCCAAAAATTAACCACTCACATACCCTCTCACAAAGTCCAACCATCAGGGCGCTGCTTTCGGCTCATTTATTTGCTGTACGATTAACAAAAAATAAACTCCTTGTCTTTGAGTTACATTTAGCGAAATCGAGACACTTTGCAAAACAGTTTCTTTTCACTTTTATTTTCCTAATGCATTTTCTACAATTAAATTATTTGTTTTCTTATATTAATGTAATCGAACACTGATGCCTGCCATCAGCCATTATCCTGTATAAAGTATAAACCGATTGACTATGGATTGCAGCATTAAATTTCGTATTTGTGTGCTTTCAGCTACTCTACATGAGTTGGAGCCCTTGGTTAGCGATACGGATGATAGAAAAACGCACGAGAAGTATGAACATTTGATTTACCTATCCCTAGTCAGCCCTAGTCAGATCAAATATCTCTCTTCATGAGCTTTTGTCATTGTCATTGTCAGAGAAGGCCCTCATTAGCCCACCCAAAAATGCAGCATCACACAACCATTCAAACCCCCTGTCATCCGCACCTGCATGTTGCAAGAGATGCATGCTGCAGCTATAGAAAGGGCACAGCCGTCCATTTCGACAATATGTCTCCGAAGACAGACTTTTTGTACAGTGGCTAATGGTGTTCCGATTATTGCAGGCAAGTGACCATTGTGGAGCGCAAGATTACCTCGCGCCCGTTCTCGCAGGCCATCGACCAGGAGCGGCTGAACCATTTCATCACGAAAAAGGAGAACTTTGGCTTCGCCGATGCCGCGGATGCCGCCGTTGCCGCTCTCAAGGATGAATTGGACAACCGCCAGCCGGCCACCGAACCCGGCCAGGTGGTGGTTATGAACGGCACTGCACCTCCGCACTCTAAACCGAATTTAGATTTGTGGTTCAAGGAGATGGTAGAGCTGCGTAAAAAGGCTGGCGAGTACAAGGTGAGTGAATAGTTTCATTTTAAATACGGCAGTCTAACTTGTGTTACACTTCACAGTGCCGCGGATGGGGCATAGAAATCGATCCGGACTTGTACAAAAAGCAGAAGGATCTCTGGGATCAGGTTTCAAAGCGCAGCTCACTTTCAGCCCTATCTCTAGCGTCGTCAGTTCATAGGTATTTCCAGACATTACTTATTAAATAAAATGTTTCCTTAAATTCCAATGAAATACTTATTTTCAGACCTATTACGAAGGAGGAGAAAGACCAGGAGAACAACAAAAAGTCAACGCCGTTGCAAAAACCGCAAAAGCCTCGAGTCCCCGGGCAGGCGTTCTTGATTGATAATAAGGATGAGATATCAGCACTGCCAGCACGATTTAGCAATATTCGTCATCACCTTGAACGCACCACTGGTCCGGGTGAGCCTCAGAAGTAGTAGTAGTGTAATATATTCTGAAAAATTTATTTCCCCGAACTGTAGATGTAGAAGAGGGCGCCCTGTTGCCTTCGCCCACGCGTGAGAAGCTTATGCCCGCTATTACAAAGCGAGAGTCAGAGTCTCAGCGCGGAAGTCCTAAGAAAACGGCTTTATCGCGACATGGGTCGCCTCAGAAGGGAAGTCCCCAGAAGGGCAGCCCCAAGAAGGTCTTAAAATGTGAGTAACCATTGGTCGCCAAAAAAAAAAGAATAAAGAATGCATTTAGTCTAACTCCAATACCGATTCCAAAGTTCAAAATAGCTAAAAAGCAATAGTACTCCAAAGCAACAATGACACAAGTACACAAAATGCACTCACAAGTTACAAGTTCGGTAACCCACAATACGTATACGCCCCGATGTCTACTACTTGATTTGGTTTCTATGATTTCCTTTTGCAATATTTTGCTCATAATGCTTCTATAGTTTAGTTTATTGTTTCGGCGAAAAAATAAGGATATTTGCAGTATATCCTTCCCAAGTGCACTGAAGAAATCCTGTAGGGCTATGAGACTGGTGCACAATTTTTATGTAGTTGGTTAAATTTATTTTTTGTTTTTTAAATTTCCTCAAAAAAACAGTTGTTAAAATTCATCTTTCAGATTTTGAACACATTTTAAGGGATTCAGAGTTATTACGTGTTACAGGCACTTTACAATTTGAAGAAGTATTTTTAATCCAATTAAGTAGATTGCAGGTTGATTAGCATGTAAATATATTCATGTTTTGACTAAATGCGGCCTTACGAGGTAAATCCCATTCTACATAAAACATCTAGAATTTTGAGGCACCTCTTAATCCCGCATTTATTGAAAAATGTTTCGCTTATTCATTTTGCTTGCTTTGCAATATTTCACAAATATTGCAATTTTGAAAAGGAAAATAAATGGCTTGGCAAATATGTAAACAGACTTTAGTTGAAAGCTTTGAAAGTGAGACATACTGTACCACCATTTGATTGTTAGAGCATTGGATAAGTGTACCAAATCTTGTAAAAACTTCACCCGAAACACCCACACCATGTCACTATTAGAAGGGGCTGTAAGCCCCTAAAAACCTAATATCTATACAACTATTTAGCTAAATGCGAACTGAAATTAAATCATGAAAATCGTACTTTTATCATCACTGAAACTGCCACCACCACCACCAATCAACCATACGAAATACCGATAAACGAAACGTAAAATCTGTATAAACCGAAATCAAATCCGAACTCAAAACCATCCTCATCCGTATCCTGAACCCGTATCCGCGTCCATATGCGTGTCCATCAACAGCGCGCTCACAATCCGTGGGTCCGGGCGTGGCCGAGAATGAGTCACCAAAGCGCCAGATCCGATCCGCGAGTCAGGCGCCCTCGAGCCGCAAAAAGACGCCGACAGCCGGAAGCGGCAGCGAACGCAAGGCACGCCCATGTAAGTAGCCAACTTAGAGGAGGCAGGCCATAAATTCCTATAACCAAAAATCCAAAACTCGACTACTCAGTTAGTTCTGTTCAGTTCAGTTGAAGTGGAGCGATGCGATGTGTTTCATTTCGAGTTACTTTAGTCCTAGTTTGCGTACGTTTCCGTCATTAGTTTCCTTTATTTCTTTTGAGTTGCTGGTTTCGTTCAAGTTTTGAGTTCCATTAGTTGATCGATCACACCTCAAGTTTGTTCCTTCTTCTACCCAACAAGTATTTCGAACGACCATTTAGTTGAGTGTTTAACGAAATTAATTAAAAACCTTAGATTATATCTAAATAAACCAACTTTGTTTGACTATTTTTTTGTTAGTTTAGTCCCTGGTGATGCAGTTTCTTGCTCCTCATTTTTGATTTGTTTTCCACCTAAATTGAAATCACTGTTCTTTTTATATTGAAGCGTTTGATTGGTCTTTCGACTATATTTGAGTCTATAGTTTAGCATGTTGAGTGAACCGTACTAACAAAATAATAAACTAAACTAACTTAAAAAACCAACTAACTACTAAACCAATAACAATAAATTACCTGTAAGTAAGTAAAGAAACATTAACAAGTCCAGCTCAGTGTTGTGTCTAATCCGTTGGAGTTTTTATTTGCTTTCCGTTAATCCTTAACTAACATTAAGTGTGATATTGTTGGCTTAAGTCCTAGATATTTGAGAAATGTGTTTGTAATACCTTAACTATGCTCTCAGGGAAACTAACCAATTGTATCTAAATTCTACATATGTTCAACTGTTGTTTTTCGGTTTTATTTTTTCGGAAAAATTCCGTCTTCATTTTGGGTCCTAAAGCCAACAATGTATGACCCTTTATGAAACTAGCTTGATATAAGTAGACTAACCCATTGAAATTGTTAACACACCCAACCAAAAAGATAGACTTAACGTTTAATACCAGCATTTCATATTTAGTTTAGTTGGATTCTCATTTTTTTAAACGTTGTTTTGAAATTTTTAATAGCATTCTCACCCCCATCGCAATCCAAAATACAACATTTTTTTAATAAAAATACATTTATTCATTTTTTCACGTGCGTTTTGTTTTCGGTGCAAAAAAAAAAAAAAAAAAATACATGCAAATTGAAAATGAAAAAAACCATAAACCATGGTCGAAATATACAAACCGAAAACTGCTTACGTTCTTATAGCCACCCTTTCCACAACATTCCAATCCCGCATTAAAAGTAGTTCCCTGCCACCGCCCAACGGTAGAGTAGCCTCAGCGGCGCCGTCAGCAAGTGCAACTTTAACTGCAACTGCAACAGCGGCACCCACTCGGACAGCAGCAGCAGCATCCGCCGCAGCAACAAAATCCGCATTACATGCTAATCAGCCTCATGCTAATCAATCACATCCACATCCGCATGCCAAAAGCAGCAGCGCCACTAGGCCAGTAAGCGGCAACAAAATTCTGAAAACATCGGCATCCCAGCAGCAACAGCAACTGCAACAGCAGCAAATGCGTAAGAAAGACAAAGATAGATCCAACATTAGTTGCTTGGGCGTTGGTTCTAGTAGTTACAATGTTGATGCTGGTAGCGGTAGTCAGGCAAATAGTGTCAAGCATCAGCAGAATAAGCAAAAGCAAAACCAACTGCAACAGCAGAAGGAACAACAACAACAACAACAACCACAACAACAGCAGCAGCAAGAACATAAAGTGCAAAGGTTGCAACCACAACCGAATACGATTGCAGCCAGTACAGCAGCAACATCGGCTCAAAATCCCACACGGCCAGCAACAATCAACATCAAACGGCTATCGGTACCAGGTCAGGATAAAAAATTGGCTGAAAGTGAGTAAAGTTTCACCGAAAACTTGCAAAAAAAAACTATCAAAAATCAACAAAAACAAATAAAAAAACTCAAAAAATCTCTTCAATAACCAAAAACTAAAAAAAAAATTATAATACACGGAAAATGCTGTAAAATGGTATCTGATGCGCGAAATGTTTGTGTTGCCACTCAAAATTATTTTACGAAAAAATATGAAAAAAGCTATTAATAATCTTACACCTTGGCCAAAACCCGTATGTCCACAATTAGCGAAAATCTAGTTATCATTTACCAATTGGAATCAATTTTCGGTCCACCAATAAATTGACGTTTCTGTATTTTGTGTTTGTGGGAGCCCTGTGGAATAATGTATGTTTCCTTTTTCTAGATTGGCATTAGAAATTGTACAAAATATTAATATAATTCAATTTGTGTTAAAATTGTTATTGTTATATTCCACTGGCTGCCTGTTTCAAGAATCACTCTATATGTTAAAATATTAAATCACTAAAAAATACAGAAATACAAACGAAATTAATAAATTTTAATTGCTAGCTAATGTGATTACTCTTTAAGAGTCAATTGCATTATAATGTGTTAGTTGTTGTTGTGTAGATTGTTTTTAAGTGTTGTATTCCCATCGTGTCATACATATATGTCCTTTATAGACTAGCTGTGATAGCGTAAAACGTTTATATACGTCTCATTATTTTAGACATTTGTTTTGTTCCCATTTTCAAGTGAAATCTCTCTCATTTTGTACATACAATGCATAATCAAAGACCCTCATTAGAGCCTGTAGTGACCCCTTGTTTAAGTTTTATTAGTCCTTGACAATAATACACTAAGTAACACTCAAAAAATATTTGATCTGTCTGTCTGTGAAGATCCATTATCTCGGGGAATATGATCGCATTGCAACTTAAACTTCAAGTCCCCAGTTTTCGACTCTTATACGTTGGTTTCTAAGCAACTACGCATCTGAATTTGCCTCTCAAAAACAAACAAAATATACAAAACCCGCCTCATATCAATAAGTTGCAATTTCTGTTGCAACGTAACTTAAGTTCAACAATAATAGACATTAGATCTTACGCCCATTTTCGCATTTAAATGTTGCGTGTCTAATTGTGTATTTGTGGCATGCCGTTTCTCGTATTGTGCGCTTTATAAATTAAAAAATAAATATGTGAAAATCTTAAATATCTTTCGTTTATACTAACAATTTGTTGCCTTTTAAGCTTCAAGCTTAATATACTTCAGTTCTCTAAGTTTGTCTTTTTGGTTCCGAATATGACTTAATTTCAATTTTAGTTAAAACTACTAACCAATAATACTCAAACACGAAATATGCTTAAAAGCAAGAGGAAATTCAATAAAGTTGAAGAGCTGCGGCATCATAATAAAATAAATCAAACATAAAATGCGCCTATAATAAAGATAATTCCATAACTCATGACACTCCACGTCGTTTTCGATTTCAAATGTATAACTTATTTTTGGATATTTTGCCAAATCAACAGACGATACGGAGGATGGTCGTGAGACTGCCATTTCCATTTCCAGCTGCAGTCCCCAGCCGCCGGTACCGGAAGTGCCCGAGGAGCCCCTCGTGAAATCCCCGCCTGAGCCGACGCGCGTCAAGTCTCCGGAGCAGATCATAATGCGTTCTCCCGATCCAGTCAATTGGACCGTGCCCTTGGATACTGGCAAGACCTTCACCGTCACGCAGAACGTGAAGGATGGTAATGTCCTTGGCTAATAGCAATTTCTTTTATTTAATGGGTTATACGATTTAAATAAAAATTTTTAATACGCAGGGGAAAATTACAGCCGACCTCAGAGCGAAATTAAAGCGTCGACTCCGGTGGAAAAGCCACCACCGCCACCGCAATCGGCACCGCCACAACTAACCGAACAGGCTAAAATGGACGGTAAGCCATTAAGCACGCTTCAATAAAAAACGCAAAACTTCCATAAAAATCATCAGCAAACCCAAATGAAGCCGCCAAACCAAACAAACAAAAAGTCGAATCGCTTTTACAAATCTTAATATATATCAACGTATTTAAATATATGTATCTGTATATGTATCTGTATGTATTGCTATTCACAACCATCATCCGAAAGTCTATGAATCGAATCATCGATTGCCAAAATCCAACTCTCTCTCAAAACCAAAAGCATCACCAGCCAATCAAGCCAATCTCGAAAAGCATAATATAAAGCAGTTTCCCTATCTCTGTATCAAGTAAAAAAAAAGCAAAAATCCCGCGAATTGTGCAAGCCAATGCAATCACATAGCGTATCCAAAACCGTAGAATTTTGCGTAACATAAACACTATTTCCACAACTATCTCCCCTCCCTCCACCAAAAACCGAACACTGCCGTCCCGCCAGCATGGAAGTCGAGCAGTCCTACCACTAATGCCGGGCTCTACGGCAAAACCTTGACGCCACATGCCACGCCCACCGGCCAGCCGGGCGGAGCGGTGCGCTGCTTTGTCCAGGATCAGCAGCAGCCACAGTCGGAGTCGACGGGCACGGCCCCCACCGCCCGTACCACCGCCGCTGAGGTGCTTGAGAGGGCCCGGGACCGCTTTGATCGATTCTGGGGCAGCAGCGCCACCAAGGAGGAGAGCGTCTAAGCTCCGGACGCAGCAGGAGGCCTTTTTGTTTTGTTCAGTGCTTTCGAAGTGCAAAGTCAGTTTTTACAAGACAGTAGAGGGCCCTTCGCAAGGAAGGCAATTATGATACGTAAAGGATAAATTCGATACCCAAAAATATACGAAAACCATCTATACTTATAAACTAGACGGATTTATGTGTGACCATTATATTTCTCCAAAGAGTATTGATTCAATAATTTTAATTTATATAGATTTGTAGTTTCATAAAAGATTATTAAATAAATATACAAGAAATCAGGTAGGATTTGGTTTTTATGATTTACCTCAATCGATTAATTTCTAAAAATTGTATTCTTAAATTTGAAAACCTATAAAAACCCGACTTTTGCTTTTTATAGTTCTTCTTCCCTTCCTTTAAAGAATTTATTTTTGATAATTTGATTTTTTGCTTGGAGAAATGTGGTTCAATATAATTAGCTTGAATCTAACGTAACTGCTTATACTGCTTCAAGCGAACCCAATCAGGCCAAATATCATCTAATGTTTTACTGTTTGGCACAACTAATACTAAAACAAACTTGTTTTAAAAGACACTTTCACTGCCTCTTCCTAAAACCCACTCATACCATCTAATAATGCAAGCTTGCATATAATACCGAGTGACCTTTGCGATATTTCGATGCTTCAATCACAAACAAAAATGGGACAAACATCACCGCAAAGACCCGTCCAAAAAGTGACATTTGACAAGAGATATACTTACAGTTTTGTAACTTTCAATAGTGTATTTGGGTAATGCAAAAAAGGTGATTTAAGCCAAAACGCTGATCCGTCAAAGAACTAACGTCGATAATAGACTTTGCACATAAATTAACAAATAACTGAAAGTAAGAATAATTTAAGATACTTGATGGCAACAAATGAAAATCCAAACAGGAGACACGCAATAAGAATATATAAACTGAAATGCTTTGTAATACTGTGGACTAGTTTCTGGAAACCACGTACTTTATAAGGAATCCTGCTCCCACACTTCTATATAGAAAATGAGTCTAAGAGGACCTTTAAGAACATTTAATGTTGATATAGAACATGTGTGAATCATATTAACTTTTGAAGAGTAAGGGCTAACACCATAATGACAAAATGCTTCCGAAAGAGCAATAGCTTTGAATAGAGGTTGGGCTGAAAAGTAATCGTCCTCGGCAAGAAGTCTTTTTTAATAAAACTTTAAATACGTTTCAAAATTATCTAATTTTAGTGTATATTAATGCAGTTCTTTTTTAACATATGGTCTCATTTCAAAACCAAAGTTTGCAGAACTTTAAAATATAACAGGTTCCACTATTCCTATTAAAAAAAAAGTTTCATCATGGACGATTACTTCTCAGCCCACTCTTGTACTTCGTTATATTTGTATGTACCTTTGTTTGTCTCTCAGTGTAGATGCCATTTCAATAAAAGCAAACTAAAAAGTAAATGTTTTGAAACACTTTTGTTTTGCCATGGGAAAAACTGAATAAAAAATCAAAAGACAAAAAAAAACATGGTAAAATTTATTGCAAGCTGAAGTTCAAATTTCATACCTATAAGTTCTATGGTTGACTTCAGTACTGAGCTTAATTGTTGCTTATCTATATATATTTTAATACAAATCAATGACAAGGAAACATGACGGGGCTAAAAAAGCTCTCTAATGGTATTACAGTTGAATATATTTTGTATGTTTTTCATGAATACCCCTGTTTGTTAGTTGAAACCAATAAGTTAAACATTATAAATACATACATAGTTACGAATTATAATGATCCAGTGAAAATGGTGGCTTATTACGCTCAGCTAGAAACTGTCACCGTTTGATCCGCATGAATGTATTAGTTAGAAATAAAAAATATTCCAAACAACACATTTTCGGGCAACATATAAAAAAAAACCAAAATATAGCAACCACAAATAGGAAAAACGCACTCACTCTTACCGAATTATATGTCCAGTTGCAGTTCAATTAAAAGAAAATACAACCGGATAGTAGGCTGTCGAACACATTTAGTTTTTTAATGAACTAAACAAATTTTAGGCAACTTTATTATGAATCTAAATAGGAATTAACTTGATATATATTCCAGCTTCTTTACAAGGAAACAAAATAATATCGAAAAACTAAAGAAAACTACACCCCGATTCGGAAAAGGCATACCACAAGGGCTTTAATCGATTTTTATAGACATTTATATGAAAGTCAAAACAAACTTTTTCATTTTTTCACTCACAAAGCAAAATAAAATAAGGATCAATAAAATCAATTTTAAACAATGAAATTTAAACCTAATGCGCCTACAATTTTAATGAATTAAAAGCCACGAAATAAATGCAATAAAACGAGTAATGAAGCAGCCCAATTGAACGTTTTCGAATTGTCATACAGAGGCACACCAAATAGCCTTGATAGAATTGCTAAAAACAAGATATATGTATTAATATAATGAACTTTGACAAAGAAACCAAATCATATTGAAAAAGTAAAATTAAAAAAAAAAACCATAGAGAAGAAATGCAAGTGAAGGTAAAACTAATTATAACATTATATAAATCAAATAAATGAAAAATGCATATAAACGTTTTAAAAATTGTGTTTTAATTTCAAAATATAAACCCACAAGCCAAATTTCATAAGAAAAAGATCATAGGTAGTTTTTTAGGAGTTAAATTATTATTATTTTGTTTATTACAGTTGGTTTTATTTAGGAGTTTTTTTTAAAAAAATGGATTTTATTATAATTGATTTAGTTTAGCTTGATAGAAAATTGTTAGTTTGCTTTTCACATAACATTATGAGTTTAGGAATACGTTTAATTACACAATGTCTGGAAAAAAACTTGTATTTTTACTGGGAATAGGCTGTTGAAGTTCATTCATTATTAATTTTGTTTAACATTTATTGCTGCTTAATTGTTTTTCTAGGTATCACCTATATACTGATTGTAGACGAAATGTTTATATTGCAATGCATTGCTTGCTTTATTTGCGTAGTTTTTTTTTTACAGGAATATAGAAAGCTGTTATCACAGTGTTTTGGGAAACAAAAGAAACATAAATTCTATAAGGTATGAAAATTCGAAGAAAAGGGGTATTCGAATTGCCGTTTTTAGTTTAATGTAATACTTAAATATTTTCTTTTAACTTTATATGATAAGGTATAATTATGGTTTAAGTTCGTTAAAGTTTGCTCGAAAATACATGTGTCGAAAAATGTACCAATGTGTGTTTTTATTCCTAAAATATAATTTTGTTTATTATTCAATTGATTAGATATTCTATTATATTCCGTAGTTCGTTTTGTTAATTGTTCTTTATTTTTTATTAAGGGTAATCATAAGCGTAACAAGTTTCAGAAATATGTGTGGGAACATTTTTAAATAATCAAATGACTACGGGTGCAAATACATAGATGTGTCGTAATAACAAATCAATTGAGCTGGTCTGGGCTCATTTATACTTGTATATTAAATCATAATATAATATAACATTTAGACGTCGCTCAAGTGATTTGTTACGGAATACAATGCCTAAGAGCCGACTGTTTCAAAAAATCACTCGATGGGAGGCACCTAGAGTAACCTTTTAAAACCGGCCTAAAGCATATATTTTCAAGTTGTTACTCATATGCAGCTATTTATATGTTTATGATTTTATATCTAGGGTTAGGGCTACACAGTCGCACTTAAAATCAAATGAAAATCGGTCTAAAAAAATTAGCACAATGCCGCCCTAATACTTAAAGGAATTCATAAAAGTCGTGATTCTTTTCTTCGGATACACTTAAAAAGATTAAATGTATACCAAAAATGATTCGCTCTATTAATAGCTTATATATTTTTCATATGCTTGTATATTGTAACAAATTAATTTATTTGGGTTCTGGAATACGCCACCAGATTCTCCGAGAGTCTAGCCTAAACTTATTCTTGAAAAAACGTCACTGGACCTAACAATTAAATTTAAATAAACATGTTTTAGTTTCTTGTTATACCACAAATTATGACACGTTTAACAGACTTTTCATTGTTGCATTTAAATAATTATAGCATCAATCCGATTTAACAATAGTTTCGAATATCTACGTATTTGTATAAGAATATTATATATGTCCACAATAGATTGGGGCTTAGGTATGGGCTTGTAAAATTTTAATTGCTTATAGGTTTAGAATCGGTTTGGTTTTAAGTTCCGTGGTAAGTCGGGTGTTTAACTAGATCATTGGGCTGATTTGGTTGGGGCTTGTTATACATATTAAGCGTAACTTGAAAGATAAACACTTGCAATCTAACAGATGTTGTATATTAATTTAGGTTTTGTATGTGCTTCTACATTTAAATTCGTTAAATTGCCAATCTTTTAGTGTTTATGATTTTGATATAATCGCACACAAAAGATAAAACATAGCATCGTCTTTCGATTTAAACTTTATATCTCGCTTACATTTCTATGAATTCAAAAATATGTAGGTCCTACTCTCTGCCATTTGAATATTGCAGCCGTCCAAGTTATCCTTTCTTGGAGAAGTGCGTCCGTAAATGGTACTACTTATTAATGTTCGTACTCGATGTGTATATAATGTGTACTTTTCCATTTCATTTTTTAAGATTATACTTTGTTAGCTTAGCTAGCCTATAAGTTAATGATTGTTGTGTGCAGTTTTCCCATAAAAATATCCTCTCCCCAGCTTGTTTGCAACTTTACAACTTATTTCCCTCTTTAAACTCTAAGAGCTCTGTTCGAAGACTGTGTTTTGTACTAGGTTGCCAATACCTCACTGCATCTTAGTTCTCGCTGAGATCTTTAATGGCCTGTAGGATGCGCTTCACGTGTCCCACCTTAACTACACCCAGATCCTTAAGGTCGCGCCTTCCCAGGGTTAGTAGCTCCTTGCCCCGAATGTCGTTCTTCAAGAAGCTGTCTACGTATTCCGAAAGCTGCATTGTCTCCAGCCAGGTCACCACCTCGTTGACACTCCAGTTGTTGGCCGCCTCACGGGTGTTGGTTAGAGGAGGCTTAAATGCCTGCTGGCCGGCTGTAGATCCTGATCGCAAGCGTACCCAGAAGGGTCTTGATTTTCGACGGGCATCGGGCTGTGGGTAAGATAATGAAAGCTTGTAGCTTATTATATGGAAAATATGGTTTCTTCACTCACCTCCTCGTTGGGTGCCAGGACATTGAAGTAGGCCCGCAGCTTTCCGTCAATACACTTCTGGACAGAGCACTTCTTCAGCTCCATCTCCATATTCGCCAGGGCTGCACTAAGCTTGGTCTCCAAGTCCTCCCGCAGGATCAGGCTGTGGCCCCGATCACGCAGCAAGGTGCAGGCGTCGTCGTACAATTGTCGCGAGGAGTCGATGACCTCCACTAGCTTCGTGCGCAGCGAGGGTCCTTCTAGCAACTTTCCCTGTGGGTGAATACTTTCAAGAGCTTCGCTGGCTCGACAGGCCACTGCGTATAGATCGTGCTGCAAGGCCGGGTGGGAGATGATCAAGAACTTGACCCACTTCACCAGGGAACTGACTGCCTCTATAAAGTTAAGGAGCACATAGCACTCTCGCTCCGAAATGACCTCGTCGGTAGAGGTGGCGTGCTCGGAGGTGGTGGAAGAGGTGTCCCGCTGAATGGAGATGCTGTGTTGGCGCTGTTTCTCCTGCCAGCTCTTCAGCGAGAGCTCTAAGCTCCGGTTGCGACACAACATTTGCACACGGTTTTTGTGCAGGATTCGGATCATTCCGGGGGGCTGTAGCCAAGCCTCACCGTCAACCTGGATGGGTATCTCTTCATCGCCCAGGATATTGATCTGAACGCTCTGGCACTGGGCGATCCGATGATGTTGCAAGTTGATCAGCCGGGAAGCAGCCATTTGAACGGATCCAAAAACGGCCACCACTTCGAGAACTCGATCATCGAAGCTGGGGGGCAAGAAAATATCGTCTTTCTTGCTGCTGCCCCAAAAGTTAGTGCCGCCCATAAAACTGGGAATGTTCAGGATTACGATACCCTGGAGTTCTGGTAGGGGGATGCGTTGACCGTCGCACTCCAGCTGCACACGCTGCTCGAGGTTCTTGCAGGTTTTCTGCAACAGCTGCTTGGATCCAAGAACTCCATACCACATGTAGTTGCGTGCCCTGGACCGACACTTCTCCGGATGCTCCTCGCGCTTGTTGTGGAAGTCCAGCGAGATCTTTGCGTCGATGCCGATACCGAAATAATTGTTCATTACGCACTTTTCGTGGTAGCCGGCAAGTAGGGTTTCGTCAGGATCCATAAGCGGGCTAACAGCCGCGCAAAGGGTATCAGCATTGGCGAGCAGACACTTGGATATAAAGCCACCGCCGTTAGCAAGGTCTAAGAAAAGAGAATAACACATAAGGTTAAAAAATCAAATGTTAAAGAATTTATCTTACTTGGCCAGTTGGGTAATCGCACCAAAGGATTGATAATCGGCAATTTCCGGCCTGCCTCTTCGGTGGGTGTCTTCTCCTTGTCCTTGCAACCCTTTTCGTCCTTTTCCTTGTCTCCGCCTGCAAACTGGTCGAAGCCGAAGAGGGTGGAGCCCATGAACAGGCTCGACTTGGAGCCCTTCAGAGTCTGGAGATTCGGCAGAGCTTCGTTCGGCTGCAAAAGAAGTCGCCAATTAGTTTGGATGCTGGGCAAGGATTCAAGGAGTTATTGGAAAATCAGCTCTAACTACAAAGAAACCAGTGGATGTGAGCGAGAGTGTTACGAGTGTGCCAGTGTTTGGTGATTTGCAATAACTGTCGAAAGGTGGGTTAGTTCTTTTTGGGGGACAGAAAATAAAAGTAGGTCAAAGAGCATAGGGCTTAGATGTAAGCTTAGGTATGATACACAAACAAAACCATGGGGATAAGCAGAGGCTACATGTTCAAGTTTCTTCGTTTTGTGTTTACTAAGAGAGTATGTTTATATTATATTGTTTATCAACTCTACAAAGAAGTTAACTGACGCTGGTGCAGAGGAACTGGAACTCGAACTGCAACTGGCATTTGGAAAAGACACTTTTTACAAAGGATTTTAAGCATTTTGGACCATTTACAAATAGTATCTTGAAATGAAATGACTTGTCTCTTAATTTAAAAATGTTAGATTAGTTATATAGTTTTTTAAAATACTCCAATATAATAATGGAGAATAGAGAAATCGGACAGCGAACAATTCAAAGTCTTTCGTTTTCATTTTCAAAATTTTTGTTTGTAAAGGGTATTCTGTATTCGGTAAGTCCGAAGCATGCACTCGTTTATTTATGTTTTTGTTGTTTCGGATTAATTGTACTTGCTGGGGGAATCGAACATCGAACGAACGTGGGAACGCAGAAACGGTATGGGATCAGAGCGGTTGGGTGGAAGGGGCAAGTAGCCGCACACTTGGGGTCCCGTCCGGGATATTTGGACTGGCTTACCAAAGGAATCAGCGGCCTGATAAGCGCCAACGTGGCCAGGCGAATATCGGGCTCAGCCACCACAAGGAACCGAACACTGAACAATCCATAGCCGCGCTTTTGGTTTTTCTTCTAAGAAAATGCATTTAGTATACGCAGCCTTTAAAATTATGTTTTATACTATATGGTTTTAAAAGCTGTTTTTAGATGTTTTAAGAAGTGTCGGTTAGGTAAATTAAAAGTAAATACAGCTTACTCAATTTTGAAATACGTACCAATAATTTTTGTGCTTATGTAAAAGGTATACATGGTGATTATATTCTGTTTTAATTTGTTGTGTATTTATTTATTATTATTAAAAGTATTTTTAAAAACTACAATTAAATGGCAAATTATACATATGTATGACTGAAACTAAAATGTGAGAGCGACCTTTTGACCTTTGGATTGGTGTCCTTTCACTTTACTTTAAATATTCCAAGTTCTTAAGATATTTACTTTGTACCTTATATTAGAAAATAATGATAATTTAAGAACTCTTTCTTTCTTTCTATTATGAACCTACTTACTATACATATTGCCCACAAACCTCTTCCACTTCCGATATGTATGCTGTACAATATACGTACCATATACTGTATGTATAGTACGATTTATAAACAATACCCAACTAAAAATCCAAACAAATCTTAAAAAATTCCTGTCATTAAGGCTAATTATCCCGGGTTTAAAGTAAAAAATATGATGTTATAATAAGTATTTGACTTACGAAGTTATAAAACAAGACTAAAATCATATTAGATAGGTCCTAAATTACTTTGGCTAAATATATGTTTCTTGTCTAATAACTGTCAGAATATTAGCACATAAATGTTTATGCTGAACTCCGTGAAAACGTTATTTCTTTCATTGTCTCTGATACTCCTTGAGCACACTACAGGTGCGATTCGTCACCTTCGTGAACAGCCGATCTTGTGAAGGAAAGTCTTAAAGGAATAAGAAACTCACCTTGAAGAGGCTACCGCAGCTTATCCTGCGGCTGGCTGCCGGAGAGCTGCTTAAGAAGCGTGCATGCTCCGGATCCAGAGTCAGCAGGTTGGGATTGAAGCCAGAGTGTCGACGGTCCTTGTCCTTGTCGATCTCGCGAACGGCCAAGCCGGGTGCATGGCTTGAGTGGCGCCGAATTTCAGCGTTCATCGCCCTTACCCCCAGTAAACTGGAGCACCCCATCGCCATGGATATAGCTCCTGCGGAGCCGTCCGACAGCAAAGATCCCGAGGGCTTTACCGAATCGCCGCGCAATGGCGTCGGCGGGCGCACAACAACACTTATCTGTGGATAGTTGGGATTTACATCATCAAAGGATTCTTTCTTACACGACTCATCAAAAGTTATGCGCTTTACATCTTGTCCATGGCCCGATTTCTTAGTGGGCGAGGTCGACGAGGTCAGTATCGTATTGGCCCTCATGCTGCCATTGGAGCTACCGGAGACGGAGTTGATTGTCGTGTTGCGCATTGTGGCATCAACGTCTTGTATTTCTATTTTGATGGCCGTCTGCGTGGACAGCTCATCTTCACTGGTGGTAGCCATAAGATTAGTCATGGTATTCGTTGGCGTTTGTTGGGCCTCGGCTTCCAATTCCAATTCCTCGAAATCGTTGTCGTTGCTTCGTTGTTGTTGCAATTGATCCTTCTGTTGCTTCTGCTGATCTAGCATCAGCTGCTGTTGGGATACGAGTGCAGTGGTTGTAGTGTTTTTCAGTGAGGTTCTCTTTTTGTTACGCTTTAGTTTAGTAGCGTGCAGGAGCAGACAGGAGCAGAAGAGGAGGATATAAAGTATTCGATTCGGTTTCGGTTTTTCGTATTGAAGGATTGGTGCCGGTTTTTGTTAGTTTGATTTTGGGCGGGTTAGTAGTTTGGTTATTGGTTGGTTGGTTGGTTGAAAGATTCGATCGAAAGCCGAAAAAAGTAAAATTGAAGAAAGAAGCAAACGAAGAGCAACATAGAATTTACCATGAGTGGCCTTACAACAGCACTGTCATACTACCAAACAGAAAAACTTCAAGAGTACCCTACACAGGTACCTGTACTTGCTAAACTTACAACTAATCCGTACCGCATTCTGCTAGAAACTTACCTTGAAGCTCTGACGCGCTATATCGTTACCTTCCACGAACTGGGCGAGGCTGCAGTATCGCGGCGGCTCTCGCATCTTCTGGTCGTCGCACCGATTGTCGATCTCGAACACGATGTTCTCGAACCCAAACTGCTGGGGATTGTCGTCGCTGTCCATCCGCGCCAGACGCGCCATTCGCGGCGGCGAAGAGTTACGTCGGCGCGGATGCGAGTGACCGCGGGTCAGGGCGCTCAGGGACTTCTTGCGCGGCGGCTTCGGTGGTCCGACATGCTCGGAGCAGAGCGTGGTGGTGTCGTCGGTCAAGGTGCTGTCCTGCAGGGCATAGGTTATGTCGTGGCCCAGGACAGAGCTGATGTCGTCCATAATGCTCTCGCCGGGCATGGCCTCCGTCTCGTCGCTGGTCTCCGGGGAGTCGATGTGTGTAAAGTTGCTGGCATCGAGACTCTGAGGTTGGATTTATTAGTAAACAGGTTATAATGAATAAATGAGGATAATGTATGTCCTGTATAGCCTGACAATAAAACCCTACCTGAATAATATCCCCAAGAGTATGACCAGCATCCTGCTTGTCGAAAATTTCGGAGGCCACGCTGCACTCCTCATTGCTAATCGCGGAAAGCACGTCGCTAGCCTCTCCCATTATTTCTTCGGAGGACGACTGTTCCTACAAGGATTCAATAGTTAGTATGTTATGATTTTGAGTGCTCTAAGTCCTTGGAAAATGGGACACGTACAGTGGTGGTCTGTGCATCGGTGTCAATGATTGTTAGACTGGCGCTTGTGTAAACATTTTGGGAGTTGGGGGTAACGACAATGCCGGGTACCTGCAGGTTACAAATATGTACCAGTGCTTGCTTCTCGGTGGGCATATTGTCCTCCTTCTCCACGTCCGTGCCGCAGGACTTCTCCTTCTCTGGATCCACCTTCTTCTCTTCAATTCCCTCCTTCCCCCTGTCGAGTTCTCGATTCATGTAGTAGGTGCGTTCGAACACCTCGATAGGTCGGTAGTCGGAAAGTGGGTCCACTATCGGCTCGCCCGTGAGTATGGGCACTCGCAGGAAGTCCACCTTGCGGTCGGCGGGAGATTCAATGCTTGCTGGGAGGAGATTCCCAGCATCATCGATATTGGCTCCTCCGGAGAGGGACATGCGGCCCATGCGGTAGACCGTTTCCCCGTTTGCGCTTTCCTCGATTTCCTGGATGACATCCACCCCGGAGCTCCGTCGGCTGTCGGCAAATTGCCGCGGAGCCGGCAGACTAATGCTGTTAAAGAAGCTCTCGTCCACGGAATCGCGCCGCGTATCCGGCAGGGGGGAAATGCAGGTGAGCCGCGAGGTCTCCATGGTCGGCGAAATAATATTGATCGGCGGAATAATCGGTAGAGGGGAACTGCAGGGTGTCGAGTCTCCCGAGGCCGTGGTGGTGGGAATCTTCAGCGCCTCGAAGGGAGTGATCGAAAGCTTGCGCTGATAGCGTTTCGGGCGGCCAGGTTCCGAGTGCTCCACTACATTATAAATGGCCCTCTTCACGCTATTGGCCCGGGACTGCAAGGCCTCCTTTTCACTGGAGCGAAGGGAGCGACTGCTGCGGCGTTCCTTTGTATTAATCTGATCCTTTTCATTTTTCTCAATGGATATGCTGGGGTTGCTGCGGAGGTGGTCAGATTATAAATACTTTATTAAAGATAATCTAAAGTTAAGTTTACTAGATATACTCACAGCAGGGGAGCACTACTTCCAGGGGCCTCAGGAATACTTCTTGCAATAAGACTCCTAATGGTGGCTATCAAGTCGTCTCCGCTGTGGGCGCCCATCTCCTCCTCCTGCAGGGCATCCAGCAGCATGCTCAGCTTCTGCCTCAGGATATCGCACTTCACGGCCAGTTGTTCGTCTTCCCTGTGATGCTCCGAGATGCGATTCACCAAATCGTCAATCGTTTCACACAGACTCTGGGTTGAGCTGATCAGCGTCTGGGTGTCGTTCGTTTCCACAATGAAGCGTAAGTGATGGTTGGCTGAAGTCACCATGCCGGTGAGAAGGGCCTCCTGCTCGGTGGTGATGGACATCTTTGGCGTCTTGGGCACGGCTATGGCCTTTTCAAAGACCATGATGCTCCAGCGGTCGAGCATCTTTGTGCTGGCCGACTCGTACCTCTCAAGGATCTGTGGGAGATGGGTGTCATCGTCGCAACTGGAGCCCCAGCCCAAAACCCGAGCCAGGTCGTTCCCAGTTCCCAAAGGCATCACCGCCACCTGGCATTGTTTCTGATCAAATATAAGAAAGAAATAGTATTGAAGGTCCTATTTTGTACCCTTAAAGGCCAAACAACTTACATGCATGTTGAAACGATCGATCTCACTGAGCACCCAGCCCACGGATCCATCTCCAGAGCACACCAGGATGCGAAACATCTCAAAGTGTCTGAATAGTCTCAAGCCCAGGCTCGGACCCGTAGAGATAAGATCAAAGACCTGGGCCGGATTAAGTAACTGCTTGAAGCGGCGCAGGAACTTAACGCCCTGGTTATCGCCAGACTTGGAGTTGACAAAAACTAGGAGTGGGGAGAAGTTCCCCTTGGGGCTGACAACGTCCCAGGCATCGTCGGTGCTGATGGAGTGCACACTCGTCGGCGGCACCACCGATAGCTTAGCGGGTCCAATCGGACATGCAACCGCCATCTGCGGTCGGCATGCCACGTGAACAGTTGCTCGGCACCAAAGGCACCTCCAGTCCTGGAGGCGCAGGACCGATCCGCAGGTTTTCTTGCAAACGGCGCATACGGAGGAGACGGGCAGGTTGCCCTCCATCCACTGATGCGGCATGATGATCCCGTCCGCCTGCTCGATGATGTCCTTGCCCACACTCGCCAGCGTCGTCCATTTGCAGTTGGCGATGGACTTGGCCGCGCATCGCTTGTGGACCTTGCATTTGCAGACTTCGCAGCTGAGTCCGTGGGAGGTTACTCCCGAGAGCGCGTCCCGGCAGACGTTGCAGTAGGTGGGTCGGGCATGGGAGGTGGCGTACCAGTGATGGTGGTTCGACAGGATGTCGTGCTGTTCAATCAAGAAGCTGTCGCCGCGCGGTCGTTGTGGCGTTGTCGCCGTCTTGAGGCTGCCGAGCCAATCCTCCATTTCTCGGCGGGATTCGGCGCAAAGTACCAAGGATCTAGTAGGAGTGATTATCTGGGGATAAGAAAAATATGCTTATTGAAAAATATACAAAAGCTTTAGAAACTTAATATTGGCTAAAACAAACAAGAAAGACAAGCTAGCGTCAACAGAAACTGCAATGACAATAAACAAAAGGAGTGACAGTCATGCTCATATCTACTCTAAAGATGTCCTTGTTTACAAATAAGCATATAAGCTTTATACAACTTCACTCTGCAGGAGGATAAAAATGGTAAATGGATTTGTTTTTCGAAACGGTCCCACACAAGCAGTAATAAATCAAGCACCTCGGGGAAAAATATTTTCCTCTCCTACGTCATAGTTATGCAAGTGCAGTTCACCAGGTCGAGGGCTCTGACAATGGCCAGTGGCCATGTCAATGTCGCGCGCTGACACGGCCACTTATCCATTGGAGGAGGGTCAGAAAACCTAATAAGTGGGGCGGTCTATTGTGGAAAAGCCACTTGAACCTTTGGAATAAAGGTTGAAGTGGCGAAGCCTCAAAGTGAGCCCCCTACACATCAATCTCCGTAAGAAAATTAAATGCAATTAATGTGCAACTACAGTCGGACATCAGTTCCATCAACAGAACACCTTAATTGAGTCTTTCGGGGTTTCCCTCATCTATTATTTTAATGTGAGATGGTAAACGGATTCCCGCTGCACGTGCCTGGCCCTGTCAATACCCTCGAACTTCTGCCTTCAATACTTTCAACATGAATTTGCTTTTAAGCGCAGCACTGGGGACTTCCAGTCGTTGTGTGTGACGTTTCAACATGAAACCGCAAGCCTTGATGCCAACCAGAGAGTGGTTTCTGGCCAAATTGAACTGCAGATTGATTTTGCTTTAGAGCTTAAAATAAATTGTGACCTTTGCAGGGACCACTAACTTTAATTTTTCCCGGGAATTAGTTCCATTTAATGTAATTAAAAGAATGAATGCTGCCCCTGGCTGGTTCAGATGCACTTTACTTGATGAGCTTAGTGAATGCAACATTACTCATACGCCCCGTTGCATGTCTTTGGAGACATTTTGTTGTCCCTAAATGCAAGAGGAATCGGATGCTTCAAGTGCTTTACATTTTAAATAAATCCTGAAACTTTAAGTGGCTGACATCTCGACAGGTAATGAAACATGCATGTTGCCTACACAAGGGTGTAAGAAAACCAATAAACCTATTAACTTTTATATGATTTCTCACAACATTTTATCCAATAAAGCGTTTATTGATGGTAGAAATACTTTCATCATTTAATAATATAACTTACTTATGTATTTCATACATTACTCGTATCGCAATACCTTTGATGTTTAGTTGGCCAATGAAATACCCTCCAACTTAAGTTGGAAACAATAAATGGAAAACTTATTATGGGCTTTCCGAGGAAATTGAATTTTCAACGAAAGTGCTTTACCAAGGACGTTTTTGCCTCTCATTTGTTTGATTTTTATATATTTGTGACACTTTTTACCTGCAGAGTGGTTTTGTTTGCGGTGGAAAGTGCTGCTGACATTGTGGACAGGTTCTGCAAGGCCTCTGCATTGCTATTGACAGGACGGTGGGTGTCCTTCTATATACCATATCGAGTTTTTTTATGAGAGAGGCGGAAGTAGGGAGAAATCATTGAATCATATTTGTTGTTTTGTAACTCGGTTGTCCTTTGTGTAAAGTTTCAAGATTGCACCACCCTAAACTAGTTCCCTTTATTTAACATATGGGGAATGGCGAATCGTGGTATCCCGCAGACATGCTCGTCTGACAAAAGACAATAACAAACGATTATGGCCACTTTTTCGCTAATAATATTTTTGCATGAAGAAGCGCGCAGACATTATTGCGTCAATGTACATAAAATATAATAAATACGCAAATTTTTATTGGCCAAGTTCACGCAACTAAGCAACAAGCTGGGCTTTTCCAAGGAATACATATAAGTTCTCTTCTTTGGCAAAAATTGTAAGCGTTCGAAAAGTTATAACTTTTTTTCCATTTTCTTGTGTTTGTTGGCTCAGGAGTGGTACCTTTCGTGCTTTATGAAATATCAAATTTTTATTAAACATTCTTTTTTTTATAATGTGAATAGTGGTGTTAGTGTTCTACAACATTCTAAGGCTTCAAAAGATTGAAATCGATATTTTTGTAATTGCGAACAAAAACCTAAAAAAATTTGTTATGGTTTCAGGGTGTATGCGTTTTTAGTTTCACTTTATTATTCAATCTACCTAATTTAAGGTCATGGCGATAATGTATAATTTCTTTATTAAAAAGTCTGCCGAACGAAGTCCGTCCAACTTTTTATTCTAAATCTAGTCCCTCCGTTTTCAAGTTTAGCCATAAGGCGGAAATTTATTACTTTATTTGTAATTCACAGGTGCTATTTTCTTGTTCGTATAGGGCAGACGAAAACGGTGAAAATTGTTATAAGAAGTTTGGCAAATTAAAAGGTAATAAATTGGTAGAAGCGTGGGTGGGCAGCCGATAAACTCGCACACTAATTAGGGCCAAGTACCCAGAGCCGAATAAAATATTTATTCACAACAGCCAAGTCTTGAAAACTTTTTACATTTAATTTTTATGGTGATTGTTGAAATAATGAGGACCTTGGATTCTACTCTGCGGGGAAACCATCTCACTTACCTGGAAACTATGATTTACGTTCTTGATGCCGCACTCAAAATAGCACAGGTCGGACAGATCAATTTCATCGAGAACATCGCACTGAAAATAGATGCAAAAATAGTAAATAATGATGCACATGTTATATAATATGACTCATTAAATATTTTTCTAGCTCCTTGACCCTTTTAGACTTGGCACTGAGCCAAGCTTGCCCGAAAGGACAATGAAAAATTAAAGAAGCAAAATATTTATAACTTTGATATATAAAATTTTGCCTTGTCTTTGTCCTTAATGAAACACTGGAACATAGCCGACGGCTACTTTGATGAAGCCGAAACCTTCTGCCTTCTCGGAAGCCCCATGCCCCCGGGGTCCTTTAGGAAATTGAAATGTTTCGCACACACAGGCAGGTAAATATATGAATATTTATCCAACAACAACAGCCACCGAGCCACCGCCGGCTCAAACACATAATAGCAAAAAGTTGACAATGAAAGGCCGATACAAGGCTACGCCAATACGGACAAGAAGCGAAACTGGAATCGAGAACCCTGTCAAAAGTGAAACCCGCTGCCTGGTCCGGTGGTCATTGAAACATCAAGGATTGTGTGCTCGAGTAGTTTTTGAACAAGGCGAAAATTGGTTTTCCTTTGACTCGAGTGATTCAAAAAGTTTGTGCCTGGGCCCAGAGGTATCCGCCCAGCCAGGTCCTGCAAGGTAAACAAGTTGGAATCATTTTTTATTTTTTACTTTTATTTTCTTTAACTCCCAGAGCAATCAATATGTGAGTAGTGAGTTGGGAATGGTCTGGCCTTAAGCCAAACTTTTGGTAGTACAAATAATCCAAATATTAGCTCTTTGTGCCATAATTTAAAGTTTAAGCCACTTAAATCCCATTGATATGTATTCTTCAAGGAATACATCCAATTCAGAATACAAACAATTTAATTATGATAAGTTGTTTGGCACGTAATTGATGGAGTACAGGGCAAGGCAACCACTCAAAAGCAAGTGTATATACATTCATATGTATATGATGGAGCGGCTCATCCGTCGCAGTGAGCACCGGGCCAAATAATTAAAGCCAAAACCTACACAGTCGCACATTCCACAAACACGTACCGAGGAGGAGCAGTCGGAATAACGAGGAATTTTCAAGTACAATTCATTAAGGGTGGAACCGACTTCTGTCATCCCCCACAGCCGCCTAAAGAAATTAAGTGGTTTTGAAACTTAAAATTGGGGCTAGTCCCATATCCAAGCTTGAAGCTTACAGATAACGAACTAAACCTTAATTCTACTTTCCACTAATGCAATGGCGCTAATGCTTTTCTGAAGTGAAGGATATAGGGAGAGTATTCTTCAAGCGTACACCATCCATTTAGATATCCTCCTTCTCGTGTACGAGAAAACGCAAGGATGTTTGTATATCTGCGTTTTTCCTGTTTGCTTCGCGTTTCCGCACTTGTTAAATTAAGTGAGCGCAGACATTTTCCACTTGAATTGGTAACGCAGTTCTCGAGGAGGACGAAAACGTACATATATCTGGATGGGGATTTCAATAAATGTCGTGTAGGTAGATGAATGTGTTTCTGCGTATATAGAATGCCTTCAGAATGACTCGTCGTTGAGAAAAATCAATAAAATAATTATAAAAACGTATCCCAGATGATTCTACTTTTTATGCCATCAGCCATATGACACTGGGGAATTTTTCCCTCACAAAGGATATCCAGCCATTTCATTTTGTTGTTTCTCTGTCGGTCGGCGTCGCGGTGCCTTTCTCTGGGGTCAATCACTGGCACATTAAGGCAAATTGCTAATTTTCTGTTTTATCAGCATCGGTCCCCAGGCATTAACCCAACTTTGTAGCAAACCGAGATTTCTTTTTTTTGCCTCACGAGAAACGGTCTCGAATAATCATCGATTGGTGCCCTTTCGAGGGTCCGGACACCGGACTCCGGACTTTGGGTCTCGGAATCCACCACCTGGCGCAAAGAATTGTTTTTTTGTATTTATTACTTTTTTCTGACTTGGGTATACAGCATGCAGGAAAGTTCTTTGCCCATTCATATCAATTTCTTGGCATTACTTCTCCACTTTCTCTGCTTTCTACCATTTTTTTGTTGAAGAAAACGGAATCGGCGGTCATTAGAATTTAGTACACTCGAGTCGACTCGAAAAACTGCTGAGTTGTGCGATGAGAGCGTAAGCTTAACTAATTGAGCCGAATTCGGAAATTCCAGAAAATCATTAAAACCATCATCAGGAACCTTCAGAAAACTTAAAGAAGGCAGTCTTATTGGAGCATCATATCGAGTTTCCAGCATCTTTTGATTCTCAAGTGTCAAAGAAATGCATTCCTTCAAAAAGTTGTTCCTTTGAAAGTCCTTGGCCAACTTTGCAGCTGCAAACTTGGCCAGTTTGAAAGACATTTCCATCTGATTTTGGTTCATTTTATTTTGACAGCCCCTTATCGGCACGATTTGCAGCCAAAGGTTGTCCAACGGCGGAAATAAGTGAGGAAAGCAACTCAGCTGGCATTTAGAAACAAATATAGCCTGGCCTTCCTACCTACCACTTTAGGGACTAATTAGTATTAAATGGCCTGGGCCTCACCGGGTGGAAATTTCACTTAGGATATATTTGGGGCTCTGGGGCGGACGCCTTGGGTGAGGCGCGTAGGTGTCTAGTCGGTGGCGTCAAAGTAGCGCAGCTTGAAATTTTAACATTTTAATGGCATAACTTCCCCGTAACCAAACTCTATGACCCTCACCCCGGGCGGTTGTTGCTATTAATGTGCCATAACGACGTCCTTGTTGTGCCAATATTTGGGGAGTGGCCCATTTGAATACCCGCCAAATGGCAAATGGCAAGTCCGATGCAAGTGGCTGATTCTTATTCAAAGAAATAACTTTAGAGGTTCACAGACGATTACGTAACTCACTTACCGTTTTGCCAAAAATTGAGGAATTTTTATTGCATTTTCCATGAAGAACAAACCAGAACCTTGACTCAAAATAGCCCTCCTAATGTTGCCTTGTTAGAGGTATTTGAGTTTCTAATTTGGATTTGGTAGTTCGCAGTATCGATTATTCCTGGTCTCTCAACCACACAGCCTACATACATATGTAAAAGGATACGGCGTACATATGCATAACCCCAGAAGGCAATTACATACGAACGGTCATTGCGAAATGAACATTTCACCCTCGTATGCGCTTAAGTGGAGGAACAAAAGCCCTGCCAGCAATTAGCGGAATTTCCAGGGGAGACGGTCGGGAGCTATTTAACCTACTTCGGGGCCTGGCACAATTTGTCAAGGTTTTGATGCAGGGATAACGACTGTGACCCGATTAGAAGGAAGGGCCCTAGCGATCCGACAAGATGGCCGACCATAATTGTGATTAATAACCCTGGGGCGTTAGCGACTATTTTTCAAGCCATTTCTGTGCGGGAAACGCCATCGAGACCAAATGCTGCATTATTTTATAAGCCAACACAGAACGCGATGTGACATTATAATGCGTATAGGAATGTGTTTCAGTATTTGGGGGAAGGATAAAAGCTTTCGTTTTTCCGTTTTGATGAAAATATATTGGTTTATCCCTGCTTAACCTCTCAATATTCCGTCGGTAATGCACAAGACGGGGCAGGGCAGGTCGCGTGTACAAATTCTGACACTGAACGACTAACTAGTATTGCGTGTGTTGTAACAAAAAGCTTAGGGACCTATTGTTTCGAAACAAATATAAAAAAGTTCTGTATTTCTCATAATCCTAGCCACTGGGCCGAGCTGCGTTGCAGGAGATTCATTTCAATGATATATGGTATATATAATAGCGAGATAATAAATAACCGACACTTTGCGTACATAAATATTAAAAACCAATATGGAAAACCACTTAAAGCGGAAAAGTGCAGACAGGATCAGGTAGGTTGGCCCTAAAGTCCACACCAAGCCATAGGATAATGACCAATCTTCTCAGCGAGCACGCGCCTCCCTAATACCTGGTGAAGGATTTATATTCGTGCATAAATCCCCGCATAAAGGTGGATACCGTCTCACCTGAGAGCTCCACCATTCAATCTGAGAATCACGCGCCTTTGGCAACTGCCAGCACCTTGCCACCCGCCACCCCACCCAATTTAACGGAGTCTAGGCCCCAGACTCCCACACCTGGATCAGCGAGGTGTTAATGATGGCTTGCCCCATTTAGTTGATGTTTTCCTAAACTTTTGATGCGGTTCGTGTGCATACTTTAGCTTGGCTCGAAAAATGAGATTTTCTTTCAGAGCTTTAAACTGGATAGTGACTTCCGAAGAGATGGGGTTGAACGAGCTTTGTTTTATGTAGGGCCGTTTAAATTAAAATATATTACACTCAACGAATTAGGGTTGTAAATAATGTGAGAAATCTGAAAAGTTTTTCCATTCAACAAGAACCGAAACATTGTATTTTCTTGGCTCAGATTCTATTATTTTTTACGAAAAGGGTCCATAAGCATTAGGGTACTCCTTTCATGAGTACAAAGAAAAAATATAAGTTTTCTTGTCAATGCTTTTAGCCAAAATGTGTACTGCTTTTGGTCTTGCCTGGGTTTCTTCGTTATTCGAAACATTGCTTTCTTCCTTTGTGAACAAAATCATCTTTACTGATTTTGCTTAAAGGTTGAAAGAAAGTTTTTCCAAGCGGAAAGTGGATAAATTATAATGATAAATTAATTAAAAGGGCCATGTAACACCGAAGTAAATGCTCATAAAAAGGAAACTTTCGGAGAAAAAGTTTTCTGCGCCGTTCTCATAAATCGTAATGTCTGGAAATTTCGCCGTATTTTTAAAAAGAATCCCTTTAACTTTTTTTACCCAAAGCTTGCCCGCCAATTATATATTCATACGTTTGCTTACCCTTTTTGCTGGGAAAGCACTTTTCGAATTAATTAAAATTGCATGTTTTGCCCTCTGGGCCTTACTAAAAAAAAACCGAAATGAATACCCAAAGTGATTTTATTTCTATAGGTTTTTATTTTATCTTTACTCAAAAAAATCACCACTGAATTTTTTATAATTGTTGAGCTCATATGAGCGCACTCAGTTGC